AAGGTGAGCATGCAACAACATGCGAATAATGGACTTAAACTAATTTGGGCAGCTCTATACTAAGCCCAAAACAGTGGCCAATTGCTAAGAGAATGAGGACCAAATAACATGCAAGCATGCATGCACACAAGGACCAACACTTAGGCATTGAAGAGCAACTCTCAAGCACACTTAAGAGAATGAAAACATTGACAAATGACATGCATTATAAGCTCTGAAAATCAAGTCATGAAAGGTGTCAAACCAACTAGACAAGACAAACAAAGCAAGCAAGCAAAGCCAAAATTCAAGGCAAGCAAAAGGTGTATTGAACTACACTTAGCAAAATCGAACATGGCATGAATTAAGCAACCAAAATCAGAGTTTTAGCATATTAAGACAAAGCCAATAACACATCTAGATGGCATCTAAATGGCTTAAACATGCAAGCATGCACAAGGGCCTAAACAAGGGGCGTAAGACAACAACATTTTAACACATTAAAGGGGCATCAAATGCAAGCATGCAAGCATGTCATGAGGACTGAAATGACATGTTAAATGGTTCCAAACCACTGGAATAATGCAAGTAATGCATGCTCATGGTTCATACACTTGAGGCTTACAAGCCAAGAATGCAAAGAGGCTAAACAAAGCATGGCAAGCATGGCTAAGACAACCTACATCAGACCTTAAGCATGGCAAAACAAGCCTAAAAGCTTCACAAAGCTTGGCCAAAATAAACAAGCATGGTAATCTACATGCTAAGTACATGTTAAGGCAAATGATGGCATTACAAGACATATATGCTAAACAAGCATGGTGTGCCTAAACTAACATAAAACAGTGCTATAGCATGGCAAAATAACACTAAATAGCAGCTAAGATATGGCCAACATGAACCTAAATAAGATGCTCACTCAAGAGGCTAAAATGGCCCTTTTCAAGGACAACAAGGAGAGTGGGTGGCCCTCTCCTTCGTAGGATCTCAAGGCACCATCCTCACCACTGAAATCCCTCAAGATTTCAGTGGTGAGGAGGCCCAAACAAGGTGGTCCCGGAGCTCAATCAAAATGGCACAAAATGGAACCAAACAAGCCCTAAGAGGGGTCAAACAACCCCAAAGCTCAAAACACTCTTAAACAACTATTTAGAGCAGGCAAAAACAAGACTTTTATATGTTATACACAAAGTCTAAAAACAGTTGCAAGATAGGTGAAAAAGCTATGCAAAAATGGTGAAAAAGGGGTAAGATTGTTACCCTTGTAGACCCTCTTCAAAAATGGAAGATCAGCAGCTTCCTTAGGTTCAAACCAGTCCAAAACCTCCAAGAACAAGCCCCTTATGCCTCAACAACTAAGGTATGGTGTAATGGTAGGTGTTTATGTACAAAACTATGACTAAACACACACAAAACACTCAAGAGATGGAGAGATATAGAGATAGAGTATGAACAAACCCTAACCCTAAAACTCAAAGCTCTGAAAAAATTTTGTAACTTTAATGGAGGGAGAAGAGGCTCCCTCTTATAGACAATCCCTCTTGTAAAGCTTTCCAAACAAGCTAGTCAAGAGGGAGATCCCTCCATACACATGTATGGAAGGGAGCAAAGTGTATGCCAGCTAGCACAGCTGGCATAAAAATATCTACAAAAGCAGATGAACAGTGGTCGGCCAGCCAAAAATGTAATTTGACCAAAATAGATGGTCAGTCGACCATCTAGAGTGCCGGTCGGCCAAACATTTGGCCGATGGCAACAAAACACAGCCAGTGGCCTCAAGCCATGGCCGATGGAGTGTGGGGATGGCCAACAAACCATTCCTTGCCCTCCAAAGCAAAAACACAAGTGTTTGGTGAAAAATCAAACACAAAACAGTCGAGTCGAGAGATCCGCAGGCAATGCGCGTAACCAAGACCTCCGGGAACTCAAGACGAACACAAACAAGGATGATCACCGAGTGTTCAAACGATGACGTCCAAATCTTGAGGACGGTCAAAAATGTGGTGTCTACAATATGATCTGAACAAAGGGGATGGCAGATTTAATTTCTTGAAATAATTGAGAAAAATGATAGAACAAAATCACAACTGTATACAAATCCAAGAGAACGAGGGATATGTAAAACTATGTTATTAATCAAACTGATTGGTGTCTCACTATTCTTGCATATTTTTGGAAGCTCACTGTAGGAAGAAAACCTCAGAGAGAGACAGAGACAACAAGAAATTAAAAATTACACAATATCTCTGTATTTTTCAATCACTCTCCTTTTATTTGCGCATACACGTACTCCCAGGAGCAGAGCAGGTTGGGTATGGTCTGAGCCAAGTTGGGGTCGGTTAGGGTTCGAAACAGACTTGCATGTCAATCCAAACCCAAACCTGCATTATGCATACTAATATAATCTATATATACACACACATATAGAAGTAACTCCATATTCGATGGAAGCATAAATAATTGCAAGCAATGAAGCAAGAAAAAAAAAACACTCTGAGATTCGAATCAAACAATGGAATAATTACATACGTAACATATGGAAAAGAGGCCACCAGCATAAGGCTTTCGAAATTCGACATAGAATGGAGGAAAGAGTACAAGAACAGTAGAAATCTTGCAAATCTCATACATATGTCTAAGAGGTTCTTAAAATTTTAGGGGGAATCATGGCCCCTGCTTGTCCCTCTCCCTCGGCCCTTGAATACTGGAGTGAGTGAGGATATTACAAACGTCTTTCTCCCTCATCTCATAATGTTTGATTTTATTTGTTCTACAAATCAAAAGAAGAAAAAGAACCATACATTCATACATCTCTTCGTTTGTTGTTTCCATCATCTGATAAAATCACACCAAATCACATTTCAACTTGAAGCTAATGGGTTTATATCCGATTGAAAGTTAGGGCCACTCCACCCAAGAAAAAAGAAAAAAAAATCTTTAAATTAATTCCAAAAATATTTGTGTCATTGACCCCCAAATATTATTTATCATCCACCCATGAACATGAATTGAGTTGCCAAACTCAGATAAGTCAAGGCACCATTTGAATGTTTGAGAAGTGGAAATAACTCATGTATGTTTGTGGAAGACTAATGTGTCAACAAATTCAGTGCAAGTTATTTATACTTTAGCCCCTTCTTGTACAAAATCACTATTATCATGGGTTTGCCAAAATTCACCAGTGTACCACAGTGCTCAGAGTGGAAAGCACTTCATCTCTCTAGGTCACCCACTGGGGTGTTATCCCCCCCACCCAAAAATAAATAAATAAAAATCAAATATTTGACACAATATTTATAAAATATTTAATAATTTATTTAAGTTTTCTAGCGTTTATGTATTGTTCATGAGCAAATTCCAGAGTTCCTAGTATTAAATGTATAGAACTACTCGATTTTAATTTCAAAGTTCTCTCCATTTGAAAATTATCAATAAAAAATAAGTAAGAAAGTCTTTAAATGCACTTCAAAAACTAATTGTTGCCAATGCCTCATTCTTATAGGCACTTCATTTTGAAATTTTAAACTTTGTTAATATATTTTTTAATATCTCAAATAATTTTTAACTTATCCCCTACCCATCCAGCTCACCAATGCCACCTTTGCCACTCCCTTCCCTCCCTTTCCACCACTGACAATCTCTCCTCTCTCTTCCACCCCTCTCATTCGTTCCTCGATGCTCCCTATCCCTCTCATCCCCTCTCTCAAATTCTAACCCTAATCCTAACCCCACCATCCACCATTTACAGTAGAGAAAGAGAGTTGTAATGGAGTAGAGAGAGTCACGAGAGTTGTCCTATTAGCAAGATCTCATTATTAGAATATTTTATAACCTTAAGCTAGCTTTTCAAAATGATATAACAACAATATATAAAAATAAAATATTTTAAGTAGGATTAAAATAAATAATAACAAATAACAAAAAAAAGAACTTTTCACTTGCAGCAAAGACTGACCAATTTCATCAGCAAAAAAACAAGAAAAAAAGAAAAGGAAAGCAAATGATGAGAAAGGGACTATGGATAATGATCCTAGTAAAGATTAAAATAAAAAAACCAGTCATCATACGGGTATGTAGCCCCAACCAGCATATTGAGATGGACATGTTATAAAGTTGCAGCCACCATGATTCACACACTTTTTCATTGTTTTTTCTTTTCTTTATCTTATTTTATTTTATTTCACCATCAAAGAACCTATTTCAAAGATCAAAAAATCCAATCACTATTATCCATTTGTATTAGTAGTTTATATAATGTCTCATAGATTAGAAAACGACAAAAACTAATACATTTCAAATTTGTAGATTTCAATAGCAATAACTTGCTTGGTTTTACTCGAGCAAGGATTCTCTCCTTAACTTCCCTACTTGATAGGTCATTGGGTCCACTTTTGGGCCCAATTTCGATGATTCGAACCATTCACAATTTAGAATTTGTCATGTATATCATACTTGGAAAAAATCAAATTAATCGAATATCGGAAAAACTAAAAACCGTTTATTAAAAAAATTTAATAAACAGTTTTATTATTTAATAAAACTTTTAGTTCACGTGGCTTTTGATATCCGATTGACTTGATTTTTTACAGGTATGATATACATGACAAATTTTAAAATATGAACAGTTTGGATCACTAAAATTCGACCCAAAAGTTGACCCAATGGCCCATCAAGTAGGAAATTAAGTAGGAGTGTCAAGGAGGGGATCCTTGCTCAGAGCTAATGATATCTACAAACAAAGCAACTGAATCTCACTCTGCCTATGAAGCCCCATCAGAGACAAGCGTGCAACACTAATAGCTAGGTGTGTGACAATAACACCTTTCCCAAATACACAGAAAATTGCAGGTTGTTGGATACTATTCTCAAATTTAATGTCACATTTTCAAATCTGAAATACATGAATCCTTGACAATTTGTATTCAAGGAAATATGAACTTCATTCAATTCTTGAGAAGTTGAACTAAGGTGCCCCCATACCAATAAAAGCAATAGTCACATGAGAAGCTAATTTAACTCACCTTGGACTGCTGGACAAGAGACAAGGTAAGCCCCATCCCTCCCCTCTTGCACGGCTTCATTGGTCAAGAACACCATATACGCAAGCCACGATGATTCTCTGGCCTACTAACATATTTTCTCATCACACACTAGCTCCAAGGACATTCTCTTCTAATGTTACTCTCCTTATGCTCCATTTACTGCTAATTTCAATCACCCATTACCAGTCACACTTGATCATAATAACATTCTTTTATGGTGAGCTCAATCATGACCTCAAAAGATACATAAATGGCAGTCACCCTAACCCGCTTTGTCTCATTCAATCCACTTCTTCACCTACCTCTGCTCGAAATGAAAAATGATATCCCACCACCATTACCAGCTTATGTTGCCTGAAAAAGCAAGACCAATTGCTTCTGAGTTCAATGCTCATCCTTACTCATCAGTGTATCAGTTCAAACAATTTCATTCTATTGAAAAAATCAATTCACCTGCCACAATAGTTGCTCTTTTATCACTGAATCAAATATATTGCGTGTATCAAAAATTTATGTAACCAGAAAACCCTCTTCCATTGTAAAATCGTTGTCTGATACATACCCAACCTTCTTCATTTTCACATGAAGATCATGAATTAAAGAATAAATAAGATTAGCTTCGCTATGTGATTTATCACCAACTACAAACACATGAACCTTGTTTCCGACATCAATCCAGCTACAACCCGGCTGCTTCTTCAACCCCTTGTCCTTCATTTTCAACCTAAGTCTCGCAGCTTCTCTCCATTTCCCACTTGAAGCATATATGTTAGACAGCAACATATAAGTACCTGCATTTTCTGGCTCTAATTCCAAAAGTCTCTTTGCAGCCAATTTCCCCATATTTGTGTTCCCGTGAACATTACATCCAGCAAGAAAAGCCCCCCAAACAGAACCAGAAGGCTCAAATGGAAGCTGCTGAATAAAATCAAAAGCCTCCTTGACCCTCCCCGCTCGACCACAGAGATCAACCAAGCATGAATAGTGATCTTGTCGCACTTGTATTGATTTGTCTTTTATGAGCTCGTCAAAGTACTTCAATCCCTCATCCACCAAACCAGCATGGCTGCACGCTGCAAGCAACCCCACATATGTAACATCATTGGGTTTGATTCCTAAGTTCAGCATTTCTTTGAAAAGGCTGATTGCCTCACCGCCACATCCATGGTGAGCATAGGCTGCAATCATTCCATTCCATGAGATCAAATCTCTCTGGCCTGCAAATCCATAATTAAATATTACAAAACCCTAATGTAATGCATATATATAGTCTTAAGTTGCTTTTATTTTTATATTTTTATTTTTGTTGTTTAGAGAACATGGAAAGCATTTATCATTATTCTTGTTTTCAATGCTATGTGTATTATATCATTTAATATTTAATTTTTCCAATATGTAATTCTTTAATTTGTACTTTGTTTCGTTATTATTCATTTATGTGTGTTTATCTTTTTAGCAATGGGTTAGAAAGTGTCGAACACTGTATCAAATTTGTTATCAAATTTAAATTTGATAAAACATGTTATTTTTTATGTTCCAATCATGATATCAAATTCATATCAAATGAAAGTAAAACCAAAACTTTTATCAAATCTATTGAGCGTTTAATTTTTTATCAAAATCGCAGTCCAAGAAATCACATTTCTTTTGGGCATATAATCAAAAAGCTTCCTAGCCTCCTCAATTCTCCCACATCGACCCAACGCCGTTATAACTGCATTCCAAGAAACCAAATTCCTCTCAGGCATTTTCTCAAATAGACTCAATGCTGAATCTATTAGATTACTTTGCAAATACCCATTAATCATAGTGTTCCAAGAAACCAAATTCTTGTGAGGCATCTCATTAAATAGCTTCTCTGCCTCTGAAATCTGATTCATTCGTATGTACCCACTAACCATAGCAGTCCAAGTGACCACATTTTTGTTAGCATCCTCTCTATCAAACAAACTCCTAGCTTCTCTAATCATTCCGCGATGTATATAAGCCGAGATAACACTCGTCCACGCAATCACATCTGGGTCGGGCATTTTATCAAACAATTTTTGTGCTTCGACAATTTGACCCTCTCTGCATAGCTTCGTGATCATCCAATTTGTCTGTTTCACGCTTTGATATACGAAACTATCCATTTTGGGTATCGATAATTCGGCAATTCTGAATTGATTTGCTGAGTGATATAGATAGGATTGAGATTCCCATTGAAGCTTGAGATTGCATAGTGTAAGTGCAAGAGTTCGAATAGACCTCAAAAGGGGATATATTGTAAAATCTCTACCATGTCTCAAAGCAATTGAAAGCCTAGAAAATGATTGCATAGATAACATAAATGCAACGAAGCAAGTGGTTTGAACTCTGTAACGGTCATCAACGGTATTATTACTCCATGAATCAACCTGTCCCAATCTCGATCATCTTCAAGGTCTCTTCTTCTTCCTAAATTTAAGTCATAAAGTTGTGTCATAAATTCGCCTTAATAACAAAAATAAATCTTTAATTTTTAATTTTATCAATTTAAATTATAATTTTTTTATTTATTTTCAAATTAAATTACTAGTCTATTTTCATTAAGATAAATTACAAATATATCATTTAAAATTCACTTAAAATACGAATTATCTCTTATAACTAGAAAAATTATAAATGCTCTCTTATCATAATTTTTTATTTAATAAAATTAACTAAAAAAATAAAATTTCTAATTTTTTTTTATACAATGATAAAATTACTTGAATTATTAATTAAAATAAATTTTACATATTATTAGAAATTATTAATTGAATTGATAATTTATTAATAAAGGACCATTACCAAACAGTGTTGATTAGGAAAGTTATTTATTGGACAATGAGAGGCTTTTCAAAATTTCAATGCAAATCACCCATTTCTTTTTTTGAATTTTCAATTTGTATTTTTGTATTGAGTAAATTACACAGACACCCTTTAAAATTTACACTTAATACAGATTCTCTCTCCCCTCACGTCCTAAAAATTGCAACCCTTTACCTGACATTTAAAATCACATTACAAATTGTCCATATTTTAGTTTTTTTTTTTTTTTTTTAAACAGTTTATTTATTTTCAAATTAAATTACTAGTCTATTTTCATTAAGATAAATTACAAATATATCATTTAAAATTTACTTAAAATACGAATTATCTCATATAATTAGAAAAATTATAAATGCTGACTGTTAAGCCAACTGATGTTTTTGATAATATTATATTACCCTTTTTGTAAATACCAAAATTTTATCCTTTTTTTTATTCCCCTCTCTGATTGTTTTGTTTTTTTCATACAAACAATCAATCATCATTCTCTCCTTGCTTCACATCACCACCTAACAAACCAAAGAAGGCTTAGGCTTTCATGTTCAGAGAAAATTACTTCTTTAGATCAATTAATCAAACATGTAATGTGCATAAGACTTTTGATGAAATAATCCAGGGCAAAACAACTAATGCAAAATCCAAAAACGAATGGTAAAATCTATAACCAGTCAACACACCCACAAGTAACAACAAACAAAAGAGCACCAAAATTTCAACAACTCATAATTATGAAATAAAATAACCGTAATCATGAACTGGGCGTTTTCTTTACTACATACAGCACAACCAGTATAACACACAATACACCAACACCACACCAAACCCAATCACATAACAATCCTATCCTCAATCTCTCAAGAAACCCACCAAACCCAATCACATAATAAATCGATCAATCGCACAAACCCTCCAATCTCAAATGGTTCGTCGGTGATCGTGACAGTAAACATTGACAGAGAGCTTCGCCATCTCATTTATGGAGGCTGGCGCGGTGGTGTGGTGAAAATTTGGGTAATGATTTGGTGGTCATGGTTCGGCGGTTGTGGCATAGACATTCATAGATGTGAAAGATGGAGGTGGTGGGTTATGAAGGATGGTCTGAGACAGAGTGATATTAAGAAACGAAATTATAAATTATGAATCACATTTTTTTTTGAGTGGAATACACATTATAAATTTGTAAAATACATTTAACATTGAGGATTATTTTTTAGATAAAATTCCATGGTAGATAGAATTCTCTATATACATATATACAATACAGAGTAAGAAACGAAATTCAGTTTCCAACATAATTTAAGATTTGAAATATGGAAAGCCAACCAAAATTAGAAGCTTAAGAAACCAAATCGAAGTCCAATATTACTTAGGTTTCTAAATACTAGAACTCAACCAAAAATTAAACTCTTCTGACTAGTACTATAAAATAAGGTCACTCACCCCATACCTTCATAGTCACCATTCTAAAACTCCTCTCTCTCTCTCTCTCTCTCTCAAGCTTCATCATGGAAACTATATCAAGAAACTATGACATTGAAACATATGCGCCACCACAGATCAACCCACTACCTCTAGTTCGAGTTCCAACTGCAGCGCTCATCAAAATTTATGTCAACAATCTAGTTAAACTACAGCTCCGAACTCGTCAAGGCAATGTCGAATCCAATTATCCTACATTATTAATTGTTCTTGATATTCAACATGACTTCACCATTCCACTTCAACTTCTTCCCGTCTTCTTTTCGTGGGATCCCTATGTTTTCAACCAACTTTCGTCCATGGGATTCGATCTCGAACTCTATAATTCCATGAAGGAACGCATCATCAGTTCTCTTTCCGGTTTAATTATTGCATATGGGGAGAGTCCTGGGTTTCAAGTCATTGTGCATTTGAGGATCACCACCATGCTCAGGTTGGATTCTGCACAATTGATAGACGATCTAATGACGAATCTATTAGCCACAAATGGGGCGCTTATTGTGAACGATAATGGTAATATTGGAATTGTAGAGACGATAGCCACAAATGGGGCAATTATCGTGAATGATGATGGTGGTTGTACGGGGAGCAAATATTCCACAGAGCCCGTACTCCTTTCTACCAAGCTCCTTGTCTGTCCGATCGACCTGCGAACACAACGGTGGTGAGCTACCCGGCGGTGTGTGACCGGAAAACCCCTCCGACGGTCAAGTTAGCATACACTCAGAGATAGAGAGAGAGAGAGAGAGAAAGAGAGTTGAGTGTTTAGGTTGTTCTCACCAAATGATGTTCCATGCCTACCATGGGGGGCGCAGTCATGCTTATACACCTTTCTGCGCTCACCTCTGCATCCATTCGCTCATTGACACGTGGAGCTGCCCTCCCATCTGTCAGCACAAATTCAGCTAAACATCACCTAATCAAACCACTAATTGACATCGGCGGGAATGGGCAGTCCGACGTAATTATCTTGGCCTCCTTCGACCGAGCTACTTATCGAGCCTAACAATGCCACTCGCTGAGCTCCATCACAACCGAGCTTCGTAGCACCCCAGTACGGCCGAGCTCCAGACAGGTTAGGCCGGTCCAAGGGAGACCTTCCCGCCGAGCTACATGCGCGACCATAAGACCCGGATCGACAGACAATCATCTCGGCCTCCTTCGACCGAGCTACTTATCGAGCTCAACAGTGCCACTCGCCGAGCTCCATCACAACCGAGCTCAGCAGCACCCCAGTGCGACTGTATTCCAGACGAGTTAGGTCGGTCTGCGGCAGATCACAATCACCGAGCTAAAAAGAGCGAACAAGAGAAGACAAGCTGGCAGAGGATCATCTCGGCCAACTCTGGTCTGGACTTCGGCCGAGCAAGCTTCACCTCGGCTCGGCCCAACCCAGCTCGGCCCAAATACGCTTGGACCACATTCAGCCCGGCCAGAACCGCGGCCTAAGCCGAGATTACGAAAATCCCCCTCTCAATTGCACCTTAATTCCGTCTACGCTAGCGTGACTGGGATTACATTATAAGGCCGGGCTATACTTTTTGCTCGGTGATCCACTTTGCTCGGTTTAGGAACTCCAAGGCGAGCGAGGTCCGCTCCGCGACTTGCTTCTTAGGGAGCAAGATCAGCTCGGCAAGGAACTTCATAGTTGACAAGTAAGGTACGCTCGGCGACTTGCCTCTTGGCGAGCAAGATCAGCTCAGCAAGGAACTCCAAGGTCGGCGAGCAAGGTCCGCTCGGCGACTTACCTCTTGGCGAGCAAGATCAGCTCGGCAAGGAATTCTAAGGTCGGCGAGCAAGGTCCGCTCGACGACTTACCTCTTGGCGAGCAAGATCAGCTCAGCAAGGAACTCCAAGGTCGGCGAGCAAGGTCCGCTCGGCGACTTACTTCTTAGCGAGCAAGATCAGCTCGGCAAAGAACTCCAAGGTCGCGAGCAAGGTCCGCTCGGCGACTTGCTTCTTGGCGAGCAAGATCAGCTTGGCAAGGAACTCCAAGGTCAGCAAGCAGGGTCCGCTCAGCGACTTACCTCTTGGCCAGGAAGATTAGCTCGGCAAGGAACTCAAAGGTAGGCGAGCAAGGTCAGCTCGGTGACTTTCTTCTTGGCGAGCAAGATCAACTCAGCAAGGAATTCTAAAGTTGATTAAAACCATCAACAAACCTCTTGCTGAGTAAAATCCATTCGGTAAGGAATACCAAAGTTGATAAAATCATCAACAGATCTCTTGCCGAGTAAAACCCATCTGGCAAGGAATTTCAAAGTTGATCAAAACCATCAACAGATCTCTTGCCGAGGAAAACCAGTCCGGCAAGGAATTCCAAAGTTGATCAAAACCATCAACTGACCTCTTGCCGAGGAAAACCCGTCCGGCAAGGAATTCTAAAGTTGATCAAAACCATCAACAGACCTCTTGCCGAGGAAAACCTGGCCGGCAAGGAATTCCAAAGTTGATCAAAACCATCAACAGACCTCTTGTCGAGGAAAACCCGCCCGGCAAGGAATTCCAAAGTTGATCAAAACCATCAACAAACCTCTTGCCGAGCAAAATTCATCCGGTAAGGAATTTAGATCTTTCCATCTAAATGATTGTTAGTTGCCCCTGGACCACTAAATCCGCTTGGCGAGGCAAAAATACAACAACTTTCAAGAAAATGGTCAACTTGTTTCATTGTGCCATTGGCAAAAAGGGTTACAAAAACAGAACTAAGAACAAAACTTTAGATTGACAGAGTTCGATGTTCTGGAAATGGATCGGCCATTTACATTCCGCGAGTTTTATGCTCCTTTTCCTCGGCCTTCTTATAGACGTCTTCCAAAAACTGAACTCCCTATATCTCTTCCATGGCGGTTTGCATGGCCATCATCTTGTCCGACTGCGTGAACCTTTTGCATTACTCTCTTATTCTCTACTACCGGACTTGTCGTCATGGTAGCTGCGGCTGCATCGTCTTCGACTCGGATGTACTCATTGATGCGCTGCATTAGTTGGCCCATGGATGTCGGTTGGTTCATGGTAAGCGAGTCCCGCAGCCTATGTCCGACCGACAGACCGCGCTTATATTAGGTGATTGCTAGGTTGATCGGGCAATCTAAAATCTCATTGAAGATTTCCCAGTATCTGGAGTTGTATGCCTTGAGTGTGTCACT